TAGGTGCTCCCTCGGCATTGCGTCAAAGGCTCCTGTGAGATCCAGGAAAAGTTGGCACCCTCCAAACATGAGGGGGCGCTTCTCCCCTTGACCGTTCACTTGGCTGGCGTCATATCTCCAACGACGATGAAGCTCAGAGACCTCCCGAGAGTGAGCTTGTACCCTGGTGATTGCTTCCCAGGTCCCCCTGCCCGGCAAGTAGGCAAATTGAGGAAACCATGTCAATGCTGAGAGTGTGATCTTCCTGGCTTCATGTACAAAAAGAGACATGACTGTCTTTGAAAGAGGAGTCTGAAGAGCAATTGGTCGAAGTGCTTTGGGTTCAGTTGGAGGTTTATTAGGTTTGGGCAGCAGGACCACCCAGCCTTTCCGCCATTCATGTGGAATGATGCCATGATCCATCCATTGTTCCAGCCAGTTGTAGACCAATGGCCCAATCGAGAGAGCCAGGGCCTTCCAAATGAAGCTGGGAGCAACGTGCTGAGGGACGCTGGTCCGCCCATAAAGACCTTGTAGTTCTTGAGTCAGGTCTGTGGCATCGAAGGGAAGGGCGTCGAGCTGGAAGTGAGTGCCTGTGAGATCCTTGCCAGCATACAGGTCAGCCATGTAGTCTTGGATCCAGCTAAGTTCCTCTTCTGGTGCCATAAGTTGGCCTTCAGGGCGGCGAAGTTGAGGTCGAGGGGGTCGGGCTTTGGGTGTAAGCTTGTTGACCACCTTGAAGTACTTGTGAGATGCATTGTTTGCCCAGTGCCGCCGAGCCTCTGCAATTGTGTCTGAGAGCTTGGCTTGTTTGGCAGCTTTGGCTTTTTGGTTGGTGGTCCGCTTCCATCGTTGAAGATGGGCCGCTTTAGCCCAGAGCCCAAAGAGCTGTTGAAGCCTGCTGGTGAAGTGGGTCCTGGTAGCAACTGGTGGAAGAGAGAGGCCAGGATGGCCATCTGCCCATGTCCAGAAGTTGGAAGGACGATCCTGTTGATCCCTGGAGTGAGGAGCAAAGTCTTTGCAGCCATCGAGGAGGACTTTGTTGAGAGCATCCAAGTCCGGAGGACGATCCCAGAGCATCCCAATGTTGTGTGACAATGAGGAGCAGAAGGTAGTCCAGTCCTCACTCTGAAGTTCCCAGTGTCGAAGGAGAAGGTCTTGTTGTCCACGTGGAAGACCAGAAACAGGTTTGGCCCAAGCTCTCCATTTATATGGTACTGTGAAGAGGATGGGAACATGGTCTTTGGAGTGACCAAATTTCGGAGGAAGCTCGTCCAGGTAGATTGGCTTCTTGGTGAGGGAGTCGCTGGATTTATGCCTGACCAAGACAAAGTCAATCCTGGATTTGTTGGAGTGCCCTCCGGTGTAGGTGGGGCCCAGTTTGGTGTCCCAGGTGTTGATGGCTGTGAGGCCATGCTGAAGAAGGAGGTCTCCAAGGAGATTGGAGTCCGGATGCCGTGGCCCAGAGCGACGCCCCTTGTCATCCTGGAAGTCGCTAAGGCCTACACAATGCGGAGTCCGGTGAAGGCTTGTGTTCAGATCTCCCCCAAGGATCACCACATTCCTCTGAGGCAACCCAGCCACAAGCTGGTTGCAGGCATGCAGCAGTTCACGTCGATGCTGAAGGCAGGTGGGATCATTTTGGATCCAGGCATGCTGGTAGGCATTGACGAGGATGGAAGGTAAAGGCGGACATGTAAAAGTCGTCCCGGAACCACAGCACGCCAGGAGATCATGTCAATGTTGCAGAATCCTTTCTTGATGATGGTCATAGTGCCACCGGTTTTCCCAGTGGAGCCACTGTGGATGTAGGCGTAGTTGTTATCTGACCAGTCACCACTGAAGCCCCATCGAGTGTCCTGCAGAATCATGATGTCCAGGTGTTGGGAGAGCATCCATTGACGAAGGATGTCGAATTTATAGTTGCTGAGAGAGCAAATGTTCCAGCAGAAGCCTGTGAGTCGATTTTTCCGAACCTTTGCAGGAGGATGAATGTTGGGTGCCAAAGAGGAGCTCGAAGTTTTTGTTGGCATGAGCTGTGAAGTGTCTTCAATGCCCATCATAGCGGCCGTGAGGAGTTGCCCACGATACCAGGTGTGCCCGTGTAAGTGAGCTCGTTTGAGTGCACGAATATAGGATTTCTTTCTGTGCTGAGGGTGTTGATGTTCCAGATGTTCAGAGGTAGGTCCAAGGCCACTAGGCTTCGCCATAGAAGGGTTTTGTAGGGCCAGGAGTTGGGTGGCTCCCCCGAACCTCGTGGCAGGTCCGGAACCCTCGGGCCTCCAAGGCACAGCATCTGGGTTGAGCGTGGTCATGTAGTGCTCGATGAAGATCAAAGAAAGGCCTCCAGCAGTAGGGAGGATCCGTGCCTTGGCCGGGGACTTGGGACCCCGGTGAGTGTCCAGGCGCTTGCAAGGACCTTGGGATGGTCTCTTTGATGTCCAGGATCTTTGTCCCCTGCTGGAAGAACAGATCAGGTAGGTCGTGAACCGGAGAAGGAGCTTGAAGCAGGAGGCCACCACAAAGATGACCTCAGTGCAATAGGCCAAGATCTGGTAGACCAAGGCCTTCTCAAAAAAGGGACAACCGACAGGGAGTACCTGAGATAGCCGGGCGTAGTGCCGGTAGTCCGGGGACCCAAGGAGCAGGTCGGTCACAAAGTCGAGGTCCATGCTCGAAGGTGGGGGTCCGCACTAGCCTTGACCAAGGGCATGGTCAAGGCCTGAACACTCATGGCCCTTATCATCATCATCATCATCATCATCATCATCATCATCATCATCATCAT